CACACACACACACACACACACACACACACACACACGTGGAGTAGTGACGTGACCTGGCCACGCCCCCAGCCGGTTTTTAAAGTAGAGCGCCATATTCCCGGTTCTCTCTCTCTTCTCTCTCTCCCTCTTCTTCTCCACGCACGTGTCTCTCCCACAGGCCTGCGCACTCTGTCCCTTTAACTCTAATAAACTCTATAAGCGGATTCTGTCGTGTTTCGTGACATTTCCTTGCAGGGTAAGAACACAACACAGCTAAATAACTAACAATGCTCCCTGTTATGATGATAATGGACTGAACCTCTGAAACTGTAAGCGAGCCACCCCAATTAAATGTTTTCTTTATAAGAGTTGCCATGGTCACGGTGTCTCTTCACAGCAATAGAAACCTAACTAAGACAGAAATTGGTACCAGGGACTGGAGTATTGCTGTGATCGGCCTGACCACGCTTTTGTTTGGAGGAATTTGGACTTTGGTACTTTGGGTTTGGAAAGCAATAGAATGCTTTAATCACTGCTTAATGGGCCATGCTAGTACAAGCATGGAAGACAGTGGTGCTAAGAGTTATTTGAACTGTGGGGGGCTCACTCAAGAGGTTTCAGAGGAGAAGAATTTTAGTGTGCTACCTAAAGATCATTCTTGTGATATTTTGTCGAAGAAAGTGGCTGTCTTTGCCCTTGTCTGAAGAGTCTGCCTGAGACTAAAGTGAAGAGTTTTGGATTAATTCTGTTGACAGAGGAAATCTCAGAACAGCCTAGTATAGACTCTGTCGTGTGGTTATTAGTGGTAACTCGTACGAAGGTTTATAATGAAAAGGAGCAAGCTGAGCAGGGTAAATCACAAAGTGTGAAATGTGAGGAGAAAAAGAGCACCAGGAAGTTTAATGGAGCTAAGTCCTGCATTCAAGGAGATAAACAGATTAAGAAATGGAATAAAGGAGAGGTGACCTCAGGGCAAGATCCCACCCAGCTAAGTTTCCAACTTGTGAAAAGGGGCTAAAGAAAAGCTTAGAGCCAGGTGTGGTAGGGCACACCTTTAATCCCAGCACTGGGAAGGCAGAGACTGGCGGATCTCTGAGTTTGAGGCCAGCCTGGTCTACAGAGCAAGTTTCAGGTCAGCCAAGCAGTGAAGATGTAATTGAACAAGAGGCCCATGTTCCAACCTCAGTAAGCAGCAGAACTTGTCAGCTTTAGCTACGTGGTTCTGGCTTTAGAGTTAAGGATAGAATAGAGGAGTTATGGAATAAAGCCACTATGGCCAGGCATGTGTCAGGGGTGTCCCTGAATAGAGGCCCAGAGAGGCCATGGCATGAAGCTGTGAAGTTGAAACCTGGATTGCCTAGGAGACCCCAAGATGTTGGAGATGCCAGAGTCATGCCATACCTGCCAAGGAAAGCTGCTGACAGGGAAACCAGCCCATGAGAAAGGAACGTCTTGCAGTCAACAAAGCTGAAAGGAATTGAAGTTGCAGAGTTGGAGTTTGCCCGACTGGTTTTTGGTCATGCACTGGTCCAGTATTTCCTCAGTATGCTCCCTTCCCTGCATTTTGGGAGTAATGTGTATCCTGTACCATTATATGCTGGAAGTATGAGATCTGCTTCTTGATTTTGATTTTTTTTTTTTTTGGTTTTTCGAGACAGGGTTTCTCTGTGTAGCTTTGCGCCTTTCCTGGAACTCACTTGGTAGTCCAGGCTGGCCTCAAACTCACAGAGATCCACCTGGCTCTGCCTCCCGAGTGCTGGGATTAAAGGCGTGCGCCACCATCGCCCGGCCTTGATTTTGATTTTTACCAGGGATTACAGCTAAGAGATTGTATGATCTCAGAAGAGACTTTGAACTCTGGACTTTAAAACATTGTTGAGACTGTGACAGACTATGGGGACTTTTGAAATTGGACTAAATGAATTTTGCACTATAATACTGTACAAGCTAATGGGGGCCAGGGAGTGGAGTGTGATAGTTTGAATGTAATTGGCCCCTATAATCTCATAGGGAGTGACCCTATTGGGAGGTGTGGCTTTGTTGGAGTGGGTGTGGCCTTGTTGGAGGAAGTGTGTCACTGTGGGGCGGGCTTTGAGGTTTCCTAGACTCAGGATACCACTCAGTGTGTCAGTTCACTTCCTGTTGCCTGCAAGATGTAGGACTCAGCTACTTCTCCAGCACCACATCTGCCTGCATGCTGCCATGTTCCATGTCATGATGATAATGGACTGAACCTCTGAAACTTGTAAGTGGGCCACCTCAATTAATGTGTTGTCCTTTATTAGAGTTACTGTGGTCATAGTATCTCTTCATAGCAAAAGAAACCCTAACTAAGATGGCTAGCGTCTATCTACCAGGGTTCTGTCACAGATCACCTTGTCCCTTGGTCACTCTGCTGCAGGAATGTGCCATCCAGCTTGTAATTAAGTGCCACATGCTTAGGTATATGTCTGGAGTCTTGGCCCTGTGACTCCATTTAGAGCCTGAGCAGGGACCCTTCCAGAGACGGTGAGACTAGATTCCAGGACCCATCCATGTGGTAGAGGGCTTGGGGAGAGTTAATGGTTCCCAACACATATGTCTAGTAGCTCCAATTTCAGGGACGTCTGACACCTCTGACCTCCATAGGCATCTGCACATGTGCACTACACACACACACACACACACACACACACACACACACACACTTTTAGATTTTCAAGGTATTTGAAATGGATTTCTTCCTCTGTTCTGATTCCTAATACCTAGAATACACATGTAATGGCAGGAACTCCAGCAGTCATCTTGGGCTCGGTGCTGGCCTGGGTGAAAAACAAAGCCACATATGGTGGAGCCATAAGAGAGGAGGAGCCTGGAACCACAGCACCGAGGCCTCCTTTGTCCAACCTACCTGGAATAGCAGGCCACCCATCTTCCTCTCCCCGTGCATGCCTGTCCCTGAGGTGTCCAGCAGGGAAGCAGAGAGAAGCCAGATAGGAATGGAGAGAGTGGTGTAGGACTCTAGGAACAAAGGTGCAAATTCTCTGGCTTGTTGTGCTCAAGCATTGAATAGACTAAAGAGGGATCCTACAGAAGAGTTCGACTCTCGAGAAAGGGGCCCTCTCCACAGCACCATGTTGTCTGATTGACAACTGGGATCGTTCATTCCAGATTCAGTTTCTCATCTGGCAGTTCTGATGTGATGCCATTACTCCAAGAGCAGTCCGACCATCGACACCAAGAAAGAGGCAGTGTCTTAGTTTCTTTCTGTGGATGTGACAAAATACTCTGACTAAAGCAAATAAACAGAGACAGGCCTCGCTGTAGTTCAGTTCCAGGTTCTGTCCATCCTGGGGGGGGGGGCACAAGGCAGCAGGGGCTTAGAGCAGCTGGTCACATGTCCACAACAGAAAAAGAGCAACCGTCCACCAGTTTGCATGGCCCAAGATCTCCTGCCTAGGGAATGGTGCCGCCCTCAGTGGGTGGGTCTTCCTGCCTCAATTAACAAAGTCAAGATATATCCCCAAGGACACTCTCAGAGGCCCACCTTTCAGATGATTTTAGATTTTATTATATTGACAACACCAACCATTACAGACTAGGTTTGTAGCTCAGAGGTAGAGCGCTTGGCTAGCATGTGCAATGGCCCAAAGCTGGAAAAAAATTAGACAAATAGTATCCAAAATAAAGAACAATAAGAAACAGCTCAAATTTAAAAAAATGATCCCAGGAGTTATTCGGGTGGAAATAACATTTATTGGATGAATAGCAGAGTAGAATTTACTGAGCTAGATCTCATCCCCATTTCTCCAGGACCTTGATAGACTGAAAAGCCAATGAGAGGAAGAAAGCCCTGTTCATGAAGCGCTGTCAAAACCCTTTGAGAGGAGCAGATGGTGTTGTCTCCATGACAACGATGAGGGCCAGAATTTAAAGGTGTTGATGGATCCCTCTCACACAAGAGTGCCCGGCATGACAGCCTGACACCTCCTCAGACTGGAATTATGGGGAGCTGACAGATGACAGTGTGTTTGAAAAGGAACATTTATAGAACACCTCGTACTGAGCAGATGATGACGGTGGGAACCTGTGCTTCGGCTCCCGTGGACTGTCTCGGGAAAAGCCAGTGTGATAAGGTGGGAGCAGATGGAAATCTCTCCAGAGCCCAAAGTAGTCAGCCATCTTGGCGGGGTCTAGCGAGTCAGGAGGCCCTGCCGCCAGCACACTCCCCTTGATCCCTCTAGGTCACATTCCTAAGACACCAAACATGTCAGCCTGCGTATCATCTTCAGCTGCCCAAGTGCAGAAAAGGGCATTGTCCTCGCTGACAAGGTGTATTTCACATCTCACACTTGACTTTCAAGACCTTGAATGAATTGTGTTGAAATAAATGTTCACCCTTGGGTTTAGTCCAAGTGTGTATGGTCTTGGTCCCAACAGTGTTTTTCTTTCTTTCTTTTAAAAGAATATGAAGAGTGACTGAAAAGAGGGATTTAGAATGAATGGCATTATTCATCATGTCTTATAAAATGGAAGGGGTAAATGCTATAATATTTCTTAGGGAAATGGATTTAAGGAAAATGAGATTCAGAGCCCAGGACCATTTATTGCAATGTGACATCAATGTCCTTGTGAGCCTCCCTGTTCAAGTCTGAGTGGGCAGGAGGTGGTAAGAGGTCAGGGTGACCAGCCACCCGGGACTTCCCAGAACTGGTCCCCCAGTCTCAGTACTTCAGAGCCTGGGTTGTAAAAAAGCCCCTACCCCAATGATCTGTGAAGCCCAGTTACCCTAGTGGGGCAATGATAGCTGTGAAAAAGCGCTCCATGGATCCCATCCAACCAGCCAGGGCAGGGGGACCACATTTCCTAGAAACCATCTTCACAGGGTGTCTACATCATACCCTGGATCAAGTTCAAAATGCAGGGGTGTACAAGGGCTTGAGAGACCCCACCCCAACTCTAAACTCACGGGGAGACGCCTGTCACTTTCGGGACTGAAACCGGTGCCGTCAGCACCAGGGCTGTGTGGCCCGAGGAGACTTTGGCAGCTCTAGATGGCGGTCGCCATTCATCCGATGGAAGCGCTCACGACCATGCGTGCATCATTTCTCTCCGCTCTTTGGCTGTGGACGTGACTGGACGTTTTGAGTTCCCACCACTCTGACCTCCCTGCTGGGCCAGATGGCAACCGAGAATTGTGAGCTTTTAGGGTTTTTATCACCGTACCAGAAATGAAACCAAAGCATCTTCTGAGGTCAGATTCTGGATGGACAAGGACCAGGGACAGGAGGTGCCGGTCCCTCCGCTGCTGAGACCTTGCTGCATTCTAAAGACACGGAGCAAAGGGCTGTCTGACATCCCTGAGCAAAGGTGTCTGTGAGCATGCCCGCTCTGCTTTTCTGGTTAGCCCGTGGGTAAAGAGCGGGCCTACTCAGCAGTCAGTTGATATGCCCAGAGTTGCTGCTGCTCTGCCTCCGTCCTCCTGTGGTGCCCATGATCTTGCTCTCCAGTGACAGCTCATCTCCCATGTGCATGCACACCGAGGCGATCTGTCTCCTCCTTGTCACCTTCAGAGCCCTCGATTCCAGCGACTTGCAAGCCACCATTGATTGACACGAAGCTCCAGCCGAAGCTTCCAGGACACTGTGGTGACACAGAGACCTATGTCAACTCCTGTCAGTCTTGCTGTGTGGATAATGATGCCTTGTCCCTGTGGAGCACAGAGCACCTGTCAAAGCCAGTCTTTCTTACTTCACTGAATCTTCATCCCCATCCCACAAGAAAGCCATGGACACCGGCTTCCTCTTTCCTGTAACTTCAGGGCCCCAGAGGCTTCAGTGCAGTTCACAGTCCCTGGGGGAGCCACTTGGGACAGGAAAGCATCCCCAGAGCTTAAGTATGGTGGGTGCCCACAGGGCTCTCGATTTGCTGTCTCAGTGGGAGTCAGAGAGGCAGGGAGAGGGTGGCAGGTGGCCAAGAGTGAAGGACCTGTAAGACATTGCTTAGGGCCAAACACCCCACTGTGGAATGGGTCCACATAATGAGCAAGTGGTACTGGGCTTCGGGACGCTCAGGAGGGAAGCAGACCCGGCTCTAGCTGCTGTTCATGGGCGAATGCTGAAGATGTGGATCCACGGGACCCACACTCCAAAAGCACATCTCAGCGTCTTTTTCTGTGAAATGGTGTCTAACCCAGTTGGTTCCAGACTTACGGACTCAGTTGGGTCCAGACATACGGACTCATGCTATGTACATTTCTGCTTCAGCCTTCTGAGTAGCTGGGACCGCAAGCATGTGCCACAAAGCTCAGGATTCTCAGTGACTGGGGTAGAGAGTAGAATCCATCTTTTCAGGTATCCTGAACCAGTATTGAAAAGTCCTGGCCGGGTGGTGGTGGCGCACGCCTTTAATCCCAGCACTCGGGAGGCAGAGCCAGGTGGATCTCTGCGAGTTCAAGGCCAGCTTGGTCTACAGAGTGAGATCCGGGACAGGCACCAAAACTACACAGAGAAACCCTGTCTGGAAAAACCGAGAAAGAAAAAAAGGAAAGAAAAAGGAAAGTCCTGGGCATAGGCTGCACATGGCCTCTACCAAGGGCCGGGTGGGGCTTGGCCAGGGAAGTCTGAGAACAGAGAGTCAAACCCACAGAGATGACCTAGCGTGATGCTCCCAGAAGCCCTGTTCTCTCCTCAGCATGTCCTAGAAGCTGGGATGTTGTCTCTTTGCTGTGTTCTCTTCTGGTGTGACTTCATGGCTGTGTCCTGGTGTCTGCCCACACAGCGGGCGAAGTGAGGTGGCCATGGATGCAGGATAAAAGACAGGAACACAGAGTCCGGGAGAATGAACCAGGAGTAGCCGTGAGCTGTGTTTTAGGAGCTTGTCGTGGGCTCCACCCACCCTCATCACCAGCCAGCCTCTGCCGCTGTCCAGGCCTGGACATGCTCTCCCAGGGTAGCTTCCAGAGCCCTCCTGTGGGCTCTGTCTCATGTGCGCTACACACACACACACACACACACACACACACACACACACACACACACACACTTTTAGATTTTCAAGGTATTTCTTCCTCTCTTCTAATTCCTTGCCTCGAGCTCCTGAGAGCTGAGGGTGCCCTGGGTATCTGACTCAGGCATCCAAAGTGTGAAATGGAGGATTCAAGAGCAGGAGTCAGGGGACCTGCTCTCAGATGACAGCCAGAGGTCCCACAGTCCCAAGAGCAGCCAGACATGTCAGAGACGACTCATCTGACTGAACCGCAGGCACACCAGCACCTCTTACTCCCCTTGCCTACGCCGTCCGTGTGGTCTCATTGATTCTGCTCTGAAGCGATCGATGAATGCTGCTCCTCTGCGTAAGTTCAAAGGCAGCGCTGAGTGTGGGCTCCCGCTATCCCATCGACATCTGTTCAGTCGGAGACCCGGGTTCTGAGAACGGAACTTCACGGTGCTGCTGACTCTGACCTCCAAGGACGACCACGACTTTCCTTCTCTAGACGAGCTGATCCAGAACAGAGCCACTTGGGGTGGGCTGTTTCCCATGATGCTGAGGCAGGTGAGTGAAAGACAGAGCAGGCAATTCTGAAGGGGTTGAGGTGGGGGTGATGCGGAGGTGGGGTGTGGTCGAGACCAGGTGATGCTGAGGTTGGGGTAAGGGTGAGATGGAAACCAGGTGACACTGGGGTGGTCGGGGTGATGTTGAGTACAGGCCAGGTGGAATGGTCTTTTTTTTTTTTTTTCCTAGCTGCTGTTCCTCCAACCAGCAACCGAAGTCAGACTCTCTCTGGTTGGTTCTCCCTTACAGCTCTGCCTTTTCTCCACCCGCCATGATGGTGCTGTCTCTCTGTCCAGGTCCTAAGCACAGTGCCTGACATTGAATGACTAACAAAAAGATAAATGGATGGGGACAAGGGAGGAAGCTGCCAGCCTGCCCAGGTCTTAAGTACAGAGGGGGATGCTAGGGAAGAACCATTCATCCCAGAGTTCATCAGTGGGGTTAATATCCACCGGATTTAGCACATGATGCCCAATATTAGGCATGAAAAAAATTAAAAAGTTGATAGAAAACAGGGCCATGGGTTTCAAGAGTATAAGGTAAATGAAGAATTGGTTGTGGTTGGGACTGGAATGGTAACACTGTGTTCAAACCTCAGTGCCCCATTCAAAATAATAATAATAATAATAATAATAATAATAATAATAATAATAATAATAATAAGACATGGTGGTGCATACCTTTGATCCAGGAGGCAAGCAGATCTCTATGGATTCAAGGCCAGCCAGACTTATAGTGAGAGCCTGTCTTAAAAAACAAACAGGAGCCCGGCGGTGGTGGCGCACGCCTTTAATCCCAGCACTCGGGAGGCAGAGGCAGGCGGATCTCTGTGAGTTCGAGGCCAGCCTGGGCTACCAAGT